ATGGTGACCTGTAGTGTCAGACATTTGTAGCTGTTTACGAAACATCGGATCAAGTCAATTTAGCCTGGGGCTAGACATCGCGCAAACAACACAGCATAGGACATGTAGAGGTGCAGACCATACATGTTGGGAGAGGAGGTGACCTCCAGCAATAATTTGACTCACTGGAGCTCAGTTCAAATCTCATCTCCCTGATGAAGCCATTATTTCTTACCTCTTCTACATTTTCTCTTTTCTTTCTTTTTTCTGTTCCAAATTGCAACCTCCATTTATGTTGGAGCTACAGAAACCAGGATGGGGTCTTCTGACACTGGCAGAGTCTATTGTCAGCTTGAGAGGCTCAAATGGGAGGACTTTGGGTGTTGAAATGTCCTTTCACCCCAAGCCCCACCTACCTGGACACCTCCTACACATCTTCTAAGGCTCCTCTGCAAGTTTCCCCCTGAATTCCCTGGACAAACCTTTAAAGGTTGAAAGGGGGCATGCATTTATCAGTTTAATAATTATTTAAAAATAAAAACACAAATATCCTTTTATCTCCTTTCATATTTCCTAGTGGTTATGCATCCCCAATAGCCTCTATGTCTCTCTCTTCTCCTTCTCTTCTTTATTATGGCCAATCTCTTCCCTCTCCTGGTATAGAATCCCTGAGAGATGATGGTGAAGAAAAATCCTGGTGTCCAGAAGAAAAAACTAATGTCATCAGTGAGAAGTGATGCTCAGTATCACAAAGAGTGGGCTCAGGGCTGGCAGTGGTGGGAGACAGGTATAGGACAGGGACACTAGTCAGAAGGCACCTCCGATTGCACCTTACATGTGCCTCCGCCAGAGCCCTTATCCCTTTGCTTCGTCATTCGCTGTAGGCATCTCTGAACAGACTTCAGGCCGAGGGCAGACAGGAATCGTGTTCATCTCTGAGACCTCAGTCATAGTAAGTACCATTGATTCCTCGAGGCCACTAAAGTTCATTGACTTTCCCATTCTAACTGATCTGTCTGCAGATTCTCTCCAACTCAGAAATAGGGATAAAAGCTGGAGAAACTGTTCCTGTTCTGATTACTCAGAACTCTAAATCAGGGATGACCCTTCCAGTTTGTCACTCTACGCACTGCATATGTCCCCTCGACCTTTCCTGGGCCTCATACCATGGCTCACTAAATGGCTCCCTGGAATTAAGCTAATTAGGGAGGCTTATTAAAGAAGGCTGGAAAACAATTCAGGTTTGAAATTTAATCCTTGTACATTTGCTCTTCATTATTCAGATTCGCAATGCTACAGCTGTGAGTGACCCAAGCTAGAATTGGCTCATGACAGGTACTAGGAAGTTCTCTTGTAAACTTAACCACCTGCCCAATTGTGGTCTTTGGAACTGCCTATATTACCTACTTCCTACTGGGTTTGAAATGGTGTTGATAAGAAAAGGTAGCTCTGGGGTCAAATAACCCCATCAAATGATCGTGCATGTCCATTGTATCTGCAGAGAAAGCCTTGATGACTTGACCTTTATCTGTAAGAGAAAGATAAACCCCTGGGGAAACTTACTCCTCCTCTGCTTATTCATTCCTCTGTCCCTTTAGTGCTCACTCTGTGAAAGGCACTGTGATAGGTGCTGGGGATAAAAGGGTGAGTGATGTTTCCAAAGTCCTTGCGGGTAAATTATCTCTCTGATTGCAGTGACTGCCTAGGCCAGGGCTCAGGAAACTTTTTCTGTAAAGGGCCAGATAGTAAATATTTTAGATTTTATGGGTCATCAGGTCACTGTTGTGACTACTCAGTCCTGCCTTGGTAGCACCAAAGCATCCATAGATAACTCAAACAAATGATATGGCTGTGTTCCAACAGAACTTTATTTATGGATAATGAAAAGTGAATTTCATGGAATTGTCATGTATCATAAAATATTATTCTTTTGATTTTTTTCAACCATTTACAACTGTAGCAACCATTTTCTGTGCAGTGTACAAAAAGGGGCAGGGGCCTGGGTTTGGCCCTTGAGCCATAGATTTCCCACCCCTGATATAAGAGATGGTCACTGGTAGGTTAGATGACCCGTGATTTCTAAGTCAAGCTCCTGTTCAATCAAAGCAGAGATCTACCCACCATCGTAGGAGTAATTTTTGTCTTTTCTTCTTTCCTACCTCTGTTAATCTCCTGTTCTGCAAAACCCCAACTCCATAGGTCTTTCTATAAAACAGAAATCTTTTATATACTTATGATACCACTGAGAACATCTGGGGACTCATTTTCCTGTGAGAAAACAAAAATGACTCTGATGACTATTTGGTCTCTAAAACGGTTTAATTTCATATTTCTCTTTCCCTATCTCCATACTAGAAATTAACATAAAAACTCCTTCTGGCTAAATTCCCAATACATTTTCACAGTGAGCATTTTTTGACGTGAAAATTACTAGCGCCCTTGTGGTGTTCATCAGGGATGTGAAACTGTGCAGCTCAGAGGGGTGGAGAACTCAAACTCCGTTTTTGAATTAGTGCTTCTGAGGGCACCTCACTGTCAGTTGAATGCTAGGGATTCATTTCTACAGAGTCCTGAGCATCTATTTAGTGTATTGTAATTTCCTTTATCATTCCACCAGTGAGAGAATATCATTTTCTATTTGCACAAATAAATTAATATGTAACAACTAGTACCTATATAAAATTATATTATTTACACCATCCTTAGGGGTTGGCAACACGTGGGCAAATTATAATGTCTCTTCCTAGTCCCTCCTCCCTCGCTCCTAGGGCCGGTGAAATCTAGTTACAGTGAGCATTAAGGACACTCTGAAATGGGGACAAGAGTCCCACGAGTGGGGGCAAGCACACGTGGGGAAGCACTGGCCCAAGTCCTCCTTATGGCCGCACAATAATTAAGTATCTACAGGACTTCCTTGTTTAGGCTTAAGGTGCCACTTTTACATCTCACATCTTCCTTCTTTGACAACCTCTGCCTCTCTCTAGCTGTAGTCATCCAGTCCCCAAAACAGCCTTGGAATCTGAACTATTAAACTAGGAGCCCCCGACCCCATCCCCCACCAACATATTCCTCCTCCCCACCCTCCCTCCGCACACTGGGATACTGGGATGCCTCTGCTCTTTCAGATCAGAAAACTCTGATGGTATAGAAAATTTACCTTCTGCAGCAATTCTCAGGAGTTGTAGGCAAAGAAGTTTGTTATTGTTAAACACACTTACAGGCTTTAGACTCAGACACAGTTGGGTTTAGATTATGATTTTTCCACCTAGCAGCTCTTATAGACTTCAGGCAGAATAATTAATTTCTCTGTGTCTTAGTTTGAATAGGTACAGGATGGAGGAGTGCTACCTCCTAGAGTAGAGATGTAGGTTAAATGAGATAATGGACACTTAGCGAGGGCTCACTGAAAGGCTGAGGAGAGCATTTAGTTAAGTACTCAATACAAATGCTACCATTTTGAAGACATTAACAATTTTTCCCTTCATTTACACCTCAAATGTTTTTTGAAGTGCTGTTGGCTTCTAAGAATACAGGAAATAAAACAGAGGAGCTCATGTTCAAATGAAAAAGGCAGCCATGGCCCATTACATGCAGTACCGGGGGATGCGTGTGAAACCGAGGCACGTCTAGGCAGTGTGGGCCCCAGAGGTGGGAGTCACCTCTGGGGAGTAGACTTGGGGACATCAAAGAAGGTGGTGCTTATGCTGGGTTGAAGGATGAATAGGAGTTTATCTGGTAGTCAGAGGTGGGAGTGTATTCCCATTGGAGGGACGGCACAAGATTTGTTTTTCGAGAGTTGAGGGTAGCAGAGGAGGAGATAGTGGTCACAAGTGAGGCTGATGCAAGATGCTGGGGCAGATGATGAAGGGCCTCGACTGTCATGCAAAGAAGACGGGGCTCTGAGGTGTTCGGTGGGCCTTTCTGGTATGTGCGGAAGCTGAAAGTCATTAAGGAGGCGACACCCTTCCCACTTGTCGTGTGGCTGAGTTAGACTAGAGATCCATGTGTGCAACCTGTCATCTCTGCATGAGGCACCTGAGGTCACAGATCAAGTCACCAGCAAAAACCTAGCAAAGCAACACCGGGACTAGGAATAAGTCATGCGAATCCGATGGTTTTAAAAGTCCTCCATACCAAGGCCCTCTCATTTAAATGCAGGCCCCTCTCATTTAAATGCAGGCCCCTCTCATTTAAATGCAGGCGTCTTCACTAAAGCCTTGCCTTCTGCGGCTGCATTCCAATGCAACTACAATTCCAGCAGGTTTCATGGAGGAAGATGCTTTATTGAGCATCTTCCCCACCTTCTCAGCATCAGAATTGTCGGCCCTGCCTGCTGGGAGTGGGGCCATCAGCTAGGAGCAAAATGGGAATTTTACAAGGAGGAAATGAACCAATTACAGCGCCTTGCAGATGCAGAAACAAAATAAAACCCAGAGCAGATTGAAAAGACTTCTTTCTTACCCTTGAACTTGCAATCTAGAGTCTGTTTTACAACTGGGCACCAACGCATCACACTGTAGCTGCTCCCTTCTCTTCTTACTAGTAGCTTCAGTCACCCCTCAGCCCTTCCCCAGGGCCTAGTAGGAAACGCACCAGCCTAAACCGGTTGTGTTAGTGCGTTTTCGAAGTACAGGTGATGGGGAACCCGCGCCCTGGGCAATAGAGCAGGAGCCTGGGTCTCCTCCTACATCGGGGCCCAGAAAAAGGGCTAGAAGCCGAGCTCCCCTTCCAGCTTCCCCGGGCTCAGTTCCAGCAGCGCCTTGGCTTTCTCCGGCACCTCGGCGCTTGCCTTCCCCCCTCCCTTAGCAACCGGGAGGCTGTGGATACCGCCCGTGGGTGGGGGCTCGGGAGGCTGCGAGTAGCTTGGGCGCAGGGGCGGTGGCAGCCCAGCCCAGGTGCCCCACGAACCGGCGACCGCAGTGCGGAGCCACCCGCGAGCGCGTCGCAGCGCCAGCGTGCGCGGGGTCCCCACGCACCCACCCTCCGCACCTGCCGCGGGGTCCCAAAAAGATCCTGCAAAAATGAGCCACTCTCACCCCTCTGGGTAAGTGACAACTGGAGCTTTTCCACGCCGCGGCAGGTGGCAGCTTCAGCCAGAGGCCCCTCCTCCTCCCTCCCGCTGCGGAATGAAGGGGCTAGAGCGGGAGCAACAGGGGGGATGGGCTCGAGGCGTAAAGTAATACGGAGTCTGGGTTGCAGAAGGATGGCAGAAATCCTAGGCTTTGCATTCGTTCCTCCCTCCCTTTCCTCTTTTCTTTTCACCACCGTTCACCCTTTTTGAAATTTTCACTCTGGAAGGATTAAAAATGGATGTGAGAAACGCATACATTAAGCAGGGATGTTAGCTGGGACCCAGAGGACCCTGTGTGTTTCGATGCAAAAGTAGCGGTCACCAAAACACACATTCGTTTGGCGACTCGGGAGCGAGATCAGTTCTCACTGTGGCGTCCTGCATACAGAGGAGGCGTGAGTTAAGTTCAAGTCGACGAGGGGCTGCATTGTGAGGGGTGCCCCTTAACTCTGGGTTTTTATCCGCCCAGTCCCCAAAGGAACATAAGGGGCCATTAATAGCATTTTGATGAGGGAAGGTGGTATGACGCGGGAAAGGAGGGAGAAACGAAGGCGTTGTGTGCTTGTGTTTCCCGGTGATCTCCTCCTGCTTTGGGCAGAGTGACTCCTCAGAAGACATTTTTGGCAATTACTGAATCCATTCTAGAAAGTGAACAGCCAGTATTGGCTGTTCCCAACTACCCCCCGCCCAACTCCCTCAGATAATCTTGGTCTTTTTACTGGAAGAGTGAATATCCAATTTCTTTCTGACTTAAACAATGCCATGCATATTAGATAGGTTTTTTTTAATGATACATCTAGTGAGTACATAATATCCTAGTCTATCTTGCAGTTAATTCGAAGATGTTTTCTATTTTTAATTGGATTTTTTGCACATTTTCAACAGCAGCAAACTAGCAGAGGACAACTTATTTAAGCTCTTTTGGAGTTTGTGGTGTCCGAAATACTGCGTTAGTCGCTGTGCTTCGGGTTTATAGTCACACTTAAAGATTTGATTTTGTAATGACTTCTCTGAGTGTCGTGACATGAACAAAAATGTTTGAAAAAACTAAAGGCATATCAGGCACCACGTTGGAAGTCAGTTTCAGAACTTTCTGGAAAGTGATGTAGTCACGACTAAAGAAAGTTCTTATTTTATCCCGGATTGAATTGAGGTGCCCGAACGCTTTGATGCTGACCTCCTATGAAGTTTTAATTAGCGGTGGGCCGCATAGGATGTCACTGGCACTGTTCTTCTGCAGCTGCTGTTTGCAGTATGGCCCCATTGGGGAAAATGAAGGTGTCAGTCATGGTTGTCTTCCTATGTTTTTCAAGTTTTGGGCTAAGTTAGAATCCGATTAGACCATTTAATCGTCTATTTTAAAATGTGGAAAAACCTGTAGCTGCTTATAAAACTGTGCATGATTAAGATTTCAGAAACTGAAGTGAAATTTTTCTGAAACTCCATTAGTTGCAAGCACATGGGAAAAAGGAAACTGTGAGCTGTTGAGAGAGTGTGCTCTATGGTACTTTGCAAGAAAGGTATCGGGAGGTATTGCAACCATAGTTTTGCTCTGTAACTGGAAGCTCCTGGAGAATAGGCACTGTATCTCATTCATCTTTGTGCCCCCTTTACCAAGGACAAATGTTCTGCATAAAGTAAAGCTCAGCAAATGTTTGTTGCATGAATGGTATCGTCTAGAAGTGATGTGTTCACGTACGAAAACGGCATCAGAGCTAAACATCCACCAAGTGCTCCACCTGGGTCAGGCTCCAGTCCAACGTTTTACATGGAATTCTTCATTTAATCTTCGCATCCACTCCACGAGGCAGGTTCCAGTCACCCTTCTTTCCACACATAAGGAAAGTGAGGACTGGGAATGTTTCACAGATCTCACAGGAAGGAGGGTTGAGGGCTGGAAGGCAAAGCCAGGTGTTCCAGCTTCAGAGCCTGTGGGCGGAACCATTCAACTGCATTGCCTGTCATTGTCAAGGGCTGAGATTTGTGGGAGCCCTAAATATACAGGAATTCTTATCCAGATCAGACTGACGTTGCCCAGGTGGCAGCTGCACGTGAATATCTAGCATTTTAATATGCTATTAGAAAATAATTTTGTTGTACCATGTACATGTGCATGTATATATTTTGTTTTGGGTTCATCAAAAATAAATGAAAATAATAAACATAAGAACTCTAAATGCCTTAAAATTCACCCAAGGACAAAATTATTCAAATTGCTGAAGTTTTCTCTCAGTATAAGTAGTGATTATTTTTCTTGCCTGTGCTATCATTTGGAAATAATAAAAGTTTCAGTAGCAAATAAAAGGTTTCATTAAAGCTGAGAAAGCTTTTCCATCATTACTGAAGCAGTTTGTACTTATTACATTTGAAGGATAAAGTGGTAATAAAGTGCAGTTGTACAATAGAATAGAAATGTTAAATCCCTACAATCCCACCAATCAATAAACGATGTCCTGATACTTTCTCTTGGGATTTTCCCTTTGAGTTCCACTGCTTACTTAATTACAGCATGAAACATAACATCAAAATTGCAAAGGGCCTGTGCTGACTTTGTTCAGATAGAGTTTGGAGTAAATAAAAATAGTCTTAAAAACTTCTGCCACAGATTATAACAAAGACTTTGAATCTGAGCTGCATTGTAATTGGAGGAAGTCAAGTATAAAGCACCATTTCTGGCCTTGTCATCTCCATTGGAACTGTTTTAGAGTGGAGAATTTCAATCAGTAGTCTCTTTGGCTTGGTAAATCTCACCCCGAGTTGCTATTTGTTTGTGGGTTGTACACTAGTCCTAGAGATTCAATGGCAACTTTATACCTGCAGCCATTCATGGCAATAAAATGATATGACTCTTTCGGCTCCTTAAAAGGTTCATCTCTGAATCCTTGGTTCTTTTAAGTAGAGACAGTCACACTCATCTGCAGATTTTCTTTGAGGAACAAGAAGAATGGGGAAATTATCATTTATGACAACATAAAACCACACAAGATGTTGTATGTTTGGAAAGATTCTGCCAAGGTTTAGAAGCATTTTTTGTGTAGACTTATTATTTTACACTTTTTAATGTACAGAAGTGCTTCTATAGCGACAGTATACTGAAGTGTGGTACAGAAAGAATCAACACAGCCTTAGCACTCCCCGATAACCCAGCCCTTCATCAAGAGCGAAGTAACAACTGCTGTAAGTGAAATTGTCAGTTTTTAGATAGTGAAGATGTACATCCAGAAGCGGCAAAATAATCACAGGTCCGCCATGTTATTTGCATTGCACTTTGCCTCTGCCTTCCTCATCAGCCAACCGTGTGGTGCTCTGAGTGTGTGTGGTGGCATTCCAGTCTGTGCTCACCGCTCACTCCCACCACTCACATACCTCACACGGGGCTTCAGACTCGAAGTCATGAAATATTCGAATTCAAACTGAGTAGTCCCCATTCAAACTCCTGTTAAATATTGGCAACTTAATTTCAAGGAGTAAATTGTTTCTGGTTAAATGAAGTAAATTGAATTGGAGTCATCTTTTTTTACTTCCTCCCTTAACATTTTTGTTGAGATTCTGCTCCTTTGTTTTTATACCTGGGATGTGTTCTCCTAACCCTTTGGGTAGCAATCCTGTTCATATAAGCAGGTGGGAATGAAAAGAGATTTGTTATGCAATGCCACTCAAATCTTTGAATTCCTTCGGAGTTACAAGACAAAACCCACATGGTGGTCTGTCTCCAAAAAGGGTTTCAGTGATCTTTCAAATGGCACTTAGGTCCTCCTTCAGTTGTTTAGAAAGCGAAGGATTGGAAACAAAGGGTTGCAGTCCCGCTTGTTGCCCAGTCATGAAAGTGATTTGTTGTATCAACATCTATACAATGCTTCAGATTGTCTTCTTGTTTCTTAGTTTCTAAGTTCAGTGCAACCTAATAAGACACCAGACGGTGAGATGTGTGTCTTTCTAGTGTAAAAACAAAGATAAAAGAGAAGGGAGAGGTCATTGTGACTGGAAGTACATTTTTCAGGTAGATCAGTTTTAGGAGCATATGGAGGAAACTTGAGGGTCTAAAAATTGATTTCCTTAAAAGTATCATTGCCTGGGGCCCTGTAGGAAAGGCTTTGGGGAGCCCCAAGAGTATGCCTATGCCATTTAGTGAACATCTGGTTTGGAGAACAGGTGTCAGATCCAGTCTGCTTGTAGCATTATTCCTCTCTCCTGTGTTTGCTTTTCTTTTTTCTTTTGTGTCCATCGAAGTATTTTATTTGCATTATGTCTTTCATCCTTAGGAAAAGACCCCCAGAATTTTCCCTCTTGTTGGTTTTCATCTTGCTCCTTCATGGTCCTTGACACCCACTGAGGTTGTCAAGGTGTCTCTAACTGAGAGGGACAGTGAAAACTCCCCCAACCTATTTTAGTTGTAAATAAATACATGACATTTTTTAGGGGATGAGAAAATAAAACTTCTCTGACTCAGTTTTCAATCCAAAAATCAGCCTCAAATAATCAACCTGAGGCTTATGTAGTTTTGAGACTTTATGTTTCCATTGATATAACTTTCATTGAAAACCTGAGATGCTGGGAGATAATATTGCAATTAAATTTTAAATGTTAGTAGTTTTGGTGTAGACCAACAGAAGTTGTATGCAGATTGTATTATTGTATCTTTCCCTCCAATGGCTTACGCATTTCTCCATAAAATAGTTAAAATGGTGTGTAAATTGGAATGATTTCATTATGTCCATCATTGGAAAATAAGCTGCCAAATAAAGTGAGGGTAAAATTTGTAAAAAAGAGAAAAAATTGAGGACTCAATATTCATATTGGTTTGCAAATATCTTTTCACTTTTCCCTACACTTGAGATCCCAAATGATATGAGTATGATTTATATTTTAAAAAGAGAAAAGGATAAAGAGGACAATTAATTGAGTCACATTCAAAATAAAACCTGTGACACTACAAATAAGGTAATGTGTGGACCTATATTTATGCTTTCCAT